GTGGCGGTGCTGGCCCGGGGCGACAGCTCGGCCAGCACCAGGAGCACCGGCCGGCTGTCCAAAGCAGGTAGCTCGGGCGAAGGGGCTCAGCCCTGCGTTTCCCCAACCCTCCCCAGGCTGTAGAGCCGCCCCGCCCTCTGACTTGGCGTTGGTGGTGATGACATTAATCACTGCGACGGACGGACGTCAGAAGGCGCAGCTTAGCAGCGCTGCTCTTGCTAGCGGGGTGCCTGAGTCCAGTTACTAACCTCTCCCATCGCCGGTCTCCTCATCTGTAAAACGTAGGTTACAATAGAATATTACGCTAACCAGCCCCCTCAGGAGACTGTTTTAAGTTTAATTTCAATCATTTCTATAAATATGGTTACCAAATACCTGCACAGGGCAACTATTTTACAAAGGTTAGCTTTTTAAAATTTTAATACTCGGAGTTATTCCTTAAAACCACATTGTAAGGTAATTCTGATAGTAGTAGTTTCCGTTCCTGCTTTGGCATACTGTTAGCACGATCCTGGGCAAGTTAGTTAACCTCTTTGTGCCTCAGTTTTCTCACCTGAGAAATGGGAATAATAATAGCACCCATATTTCAAAGTTCTTGTTAAAACCAAGAGTTAATATGCTCAAAGCAATACCTGGCAAGTTATTAGTCCTCAGTAAACACCAGGTTTTGTTTGTTTTTATTATTTCCATTAAATGTTTTCCATCCTTGCTTTGCAGATAAGGGGAGTGAGCCTCAAAACGTTTAGAGTTTCCAAGTAGCCAGGTTCATGCATCTGTTTTCTTCTTGTTTTCTTCCTTCAGTGAATAGTGATCTTTTGAGTTTGGTAGTTCAAGTTCATGCGGACAGTTTTTGGGAGTTCATGATGATGAGAGATTAGAACCATTAACCTGAAACAACTTTAAACTGATGGAAGTATCAACACCAAGGGGTTGAGTCTGCAAAATACCCCACATGGCCTACCGTTATTAGCTCTTCTGTCTCCCAAAATCTCTCAGCATTTTTTACAAGTTACTTTCAAATGTTTACAATTAAAATACCTCATAATATCCCAGGAAGGTAACAGGCGACACTTCAGTAGTCCTCCATGAACTGAAGGTTTTACTTATTTATGTATTCATTCCTTTATGTATTATTTTCATTGAATTTATTGGGGTGACCTTGGTGAATAAAATTAGATAGGTTTCAGGTGTACAGTTGTCTAATATAGCATCTGTATACTGTGTGTTCACCACCCCAGGTCTCCGTCCACCACCATTTCAGTTTAGCAGGTACTGGCACTGTTCGTTTGGTTTGGGTATTGCTTCAGAAGTTTGGAGGCCCTGACTCAGCTAGGGTGGGGTGAGGGTTGTGATTCTGTGACGGGCCCTGGGGGTGCAGCCATGATCTGGGGTTGAAAGTAAGTGGCAGGCCGGGGCCGGGGGGGAGTGGTAAGTGGACACCACCAGCCAGAGGTGGGACATGGGCTGCCCTAGACTGCGAATCCTTTCTCAGCCAAGCGCCACTCACACGAGGAGGGATTCTATGAAACCGAGGCTCATTATGCTAATGGTTTAGCATCATTATGCTGTTGACAAATGCCTCCTGAGAAATTATCTTGTGTTTTCCTACATAGGCAGGAAATTAATAGCATTTAGTTACAGTCACTCCTTTATATATATAAATCTTGCTTCTTGGAAAGGTTCAGGTGGGCTCTGTCATTTTTATTCACCAATTGGAGAATTCTTGATTTCTAGCTCTAATTAATTGCTCTTATATCCCACTATTGCAGCAACTGAAGTCAAGGAAATCCACTGTGGTGCACTTAAGCTCTTGTAAACTAAGAAAGGTTCAATAGTTTTAAATCTTCTTAAAAGGCAGGAACCAAGTACCTTAAATGGCGCACTTGAAAATTCCAGTACACCAAAAGAGCTCTTATGATTTTTAAATTAATCGTCATTCTTGTGCACCAGCCCCCAATCGCTTCCAAAGCAAAGATTTTTGGAAACATTTAAAACACCTCAAGAATGCTCAAATGCCATGTTCTTTGAAGAATGGTTAGAAATTGCAAGTGCTTCAGACATATTTTTTTTAAATCTAAGTGTCTCCATTTGAAAGCTTGTCAAGGTGCAGGAATGGAAAGCAAAAAATAATAATAATAATAAAGGAGATGAAGATAGGATGTCAAAATAAACCCACAATTTCCCAGGATGGTTTTTATGAAGCAGAGCTGTCAGTTCTGCTGTCATGAAACGTCAGAACAGCACAAGTTCTCCGTTGTTTACCTCATTGCGCACAGCAGACTTGAAAACTTTTTACCTTTCAGAAAGCAGGTCTGGAGTGGTGACATTTACGCTACTCTCCTCCTCCGATTACATAGGCTGGCGCTTTACAGAGATAATAATGATGCTTCTTCCAAGTGGGAAACATGTTTTCCTACATTTTGGAAAAGGCACATTACTGAAGTCTGCACGTACAAGCGCTTTCTCTGGCGCCGAGGCTGCCTTCCCCCTGTTGCATCCCCCACGCTGAGCCCATGGTCACCCAACAAATGTCCAGCACACACCTGTGGCAGCAGATGATGTCATTATGTCACTACCTCTCCTTGTGATGAGGATTCAACTGGTGCTCCAGCCTTAGCAGCTTCTTGGTAGTGGCGGTATGGTTGAAAAATAAGAGTATGGCACCTCTTTCTTTCACACTGGCCAGACTCCCTGTTTCTCTATCATCCCTCCCTCTTGGCACAGTAGGAGTTCTCACCTTTAGCTGTGTCAGCATCACATGAAGAATTTCTTAAAGCACAGATTGCTTGTTCAGAAACCATCCCTGAAGAATAACCCATCTAGAGAAATAAGATAGCCTTCTGTTTTGTTTTAGTAATTTTGCATGGCCTGGTATTTTGTTTTCTGGATGCAAGGCCATTCTTGCTGTCACCCTCCTAATCTGCACCGTAGAGTATTTTTGAAGCCAATACAAGACACCTCATCTTGCTCCCACTTCCTCTTCTGCATGTTTATTTGCGTCACTACACTAATGCATCCTAGATATTTTCTTCTGCCTTGTAATTTCAGAAGCTTTAGGTTATTCTACTGAACTCTGACCCCTGGATCTGGAAACATTTTCTTGAATTCAGAAAAAGAATACTTATGTTTCAGGGTCCTTAAAAAAAAACTTGCATCAGACGAGTTGAAAAGGCAAGGAAGACTTTATTCATAACTAATTGCAACAGGAGTCAAGACTATTCCAATAGGGGAGGGAGCTTAAACTCAACCTTGCTGAAGCAAAAGGCAGGGGAGTTTCAGTGAGCTGGTGGAAAGTGCTGGAGGAGTTTAGAGAGGTGACTGGTCAGTTTGATTAAGCCATCTGTGTTTGCTAATTGGTATTTATAAAAGTCAGGCTCTTACCCTCCCACAGAAACTGACAGACAAGGGAACTATTTTCTTGATGATGGCATTTCAGAGGATGGCTCTCAAGTTCACTCTAGCTCACACCCCAAATCAGAGTTATGACAGGCCTCATTGTCTCCAACTCTTTCTCACTGTCTAACCCCTCAGTCCAGACAGGGGCATCATCATGTTTGTATGACCTTACATGTCGGGGGGCAGGAAGTTTTGTTGTATTATTACTGTTGTTGTTGTTGAGTCTGTGCTAGTGTCAAACTTGAACTGTAACATCAGATCATATATAGCAAGTCCTCAAAGAAACGCTACGGTTTGCACTGGGGCTGGGACTTCAGGGTTATAATATCAGTGACGTGGTCTCAAGATACTCCTAGTATTTTCAAAATTCCTTTTAGATCCTTTCTTTTCCTCCCCATATGTTATTCAGAACCCTCAGTATTTTAAACCAGCTGGTTAGATGGAGCATCCAGAATTAACCTGAAACTTTATCACTATTGATAATCAAGTCATGGAAAAAAAGAAAATTCCCAACTGTGAACACTTGTGGCAGCCCACGGTATACGCGTATGCAGAGCTTTAGGGCGCCATTTACCAATGAACCGCCCTAGTGGCATTTGAGAAGGCTAAAAGAGAGTCCATTCCTGATCTCTCTTATTTTTAGGAAACTAGCGCATCAGAAAAACATGCAGCAGATATTTGAATAAAATGGGAGTCAAATGCGGGAGGGGCGTTGCTTATTCTGGCCCTGGCAGCGCCCGCCTCAAACCCTTTAGCGATGGATGAAAGCAGCGTTTAGGCCCAGGGCCGTGCCCTCTGTCGCCTTCTGTGTGCTCACTGACCTGTTGGTTTGTCTCCCTGGCAGGCTCCGAGTCTTCCAGCAGCGCAGGCTCTTCAGGATCGCTGTCCCGCAGCCACCC